CTTTCCCTTTCCCCACTCCTTTCTACGCCCTAAAATCAATGGAAAAAAAGTCTCCAATGAGGATTAACCAAAAAAAACAGAAAGAAAACAAATAAACATGACTGTGTGCCAATAAAACTGTACCAATAGACCCTGACATTTAAATCTCATGTCATTTTCAGGTATCACAAAATATTTCTTGTCTTTTATTTCTGTTTTTGTCAGCCATTTGAAAATGAGAAAACCATTAGTTCATGGGCCATACGGAAACGGATGGGGTGCGGGTTGCATTTGGCCTCTGGGCTCCAGTTTGTTGGCCCCTGATTTGAATGATCTGTCCTTGACTCCACACATTGCCCCTCACCCTTGCATTTTCCCTTTTCTCTCTCCCTTTCCCCCCTCCCCTTACTTTCCCAATTTTTTTAAAAATAAAGAGACTTAAGAATATATTTTCTTATTGACTTCAAAGAGGAAGGGAGAGGGAGAGAGAGGTAGAAACATCAATGATGAGAGAGAATCATGGATCGGCTGCCTCCTGCACATCCCACACTGGGCACTGAGCTTGCAACCTGGGCGTGTGCTCTGACCAGGAATCAAACCGTGACTTTCTGGTTCATAGGTCAACACTCAACCACTGAGCCATGCTGGCTGGGCAATAGAAAGAGATTTAAGATGGAGTGCATGGCCATATAAAATTAAACTTAGTATTAATTAGAAGAAGGTGATATATGGAATGATGCTCATAGTCGGGGCCTGGAAGGGATGAGTGGACGCAGGATGGAGCCTTCCCTGAAACTAACGGACTAGAACAGAACACAGAGCCTCTGTACCTGCTGCAGGTGAGCAGGATTTGGGCGACCTTGACTCTCTTTGTCCATAAACAGCCTTTCCCTCCACCCAGCAATTTCTGTTCTATGATATATACCATAGAAAACCTTGGACAACTGCACAAATATGTATGTAAGACGATGGCCATCACAGTGACCAAAAAAGTTAGTACAGCCATCTATACTAATAAAAGAATAATATGCTAATTAGGCCAGGTCTACCGGGCATCTTCTGGTCATCCTCCCTTTCTTCCAGACAAAGCCACGGTGACTGGGGGCTGAGGCAGAGGCAGTTAGGGATGCTCTGGCCAGCAGAGGAGAGCAGTTAGGGGTGATCAGGCAGACAGGCAGGTGAGCAGTTAGGAGCCAGCGGTCCCAGATGGGATTGCGAGAGGGATGTCCAACTGCCAGTTTAGGCCCAATCCCCTTTGCCCTGTGGCTTGATCTTCATGATGGAGAATTTTCCACGTGAAGACATAAATCTACACCACCTTTCTGCATGCTTTCCTAAAACTTCAAAATATGGATATACTCTTCCCCAAGTAAAGCATAATTGGATGGCTTTTAATATTTTGCTATGACCATGACCAAATGGGTACCTTCTGCATTGATTTTTGAGTAAGTGTGTGAGGGTGTTTTTGTGGTATTATCAGATTATCTAAGTGAAGTCACTGGGTCAGTGGATATGTACATGTTAAGTGTGTGTGTGTTAAACTTTTTTATTCTAAATTATCCTCAGTAAACATATGAGACTACCCATTTTTAAAAACTTCCTTAACACTGAAAATCATCAATTTAATAAATTTGCTCCAAGTATGGACTACATAGCTTATGTTAAACTAATCAATTAAAATAATCAAGTAGCCTGGCCAACGTGGTTCATTGGTTGAGCATCGACCTATGAACCAGGAGGTCACGGTTCAATTACCAGTCAGGGTTACGGGCTTTATCCCCAGTAGAGGGCATGCAGGAGGCGGCCGATCAATGAGTCTTTCTCATTAATGATGTTTCTAACTCTCTCTCCAGCTCCCATCCTCTCTGATATCAGTAAAAATATATTTTAAAAAATAACCGAGGACTAAAATAATCAATAATGGCATACTGTGCTTGAGAGTGAGAGAGAAATACTTGACCTATCCTTAGGCAACTGACCTCTAACGCCCTTCCATCTTCCCCCATTCCACGTGCCCATGTTAGTTCTTGGGGGTAGACCAGATCTCCCATTGGGGAGAGGTTATCCTGGAAGATGGAGACGGATCCTGACCCTCACTTCTGCTTTTCTTCCACAGTTTATAGTAAGTCTTGGTGTTCACGAACGGACAGAAGTTATAGGATTCATCAGCTGCCTCTCAAAATGGATCTTTTCCCGGATCATTCTGACCAATAAAGATTTGATCCCTCTCCCACGTGGATGACTCCCTCCCTGAAACCAGGCACAGCTGAAGCTCGGTGGTAACCAGTGCCTCCCTGGCCCTGGGGGCGGGGGACCAGCAGGGCGTCGGTGGGGAAGAACTTGCATTCAAATCAAGGTCCTGAGGAATCGCTGACAGTATCATCTTTGGCAAGTTAACTTCTCAGAGAAACTGCAGCTTCCCCTCACACAATTCTTGAAATTTTTAATTAAGTATAATGTACCCTTTTAATTGTTGGAGGTAAAATTCATGACGTACAATGAACTACTTTAAAGATAACAATGCCGTGGCATTGAGGACAGTTGCAAAGTTGCGCGAACATCACCTTTACTTCCAAAAGGTTCTCATCATACCCTGGCCCGGTAGAGCAGTTGGTTAGAGCATCGTCCCGATATGCCAAGGTTGTGGGTTTGATTCCCAGTCAGGGCACATAGCTAGGTTGCGGGTTCAATGTCGGGTCAATAGGGGCACATATGGGAGGCAACCAATCGATGTCTCTCTCTCTCTCTCTCTCTCTCTCTCTCTCCTCCTTCCCCTCCCTCCCTCTCTCTAAAAAACCAATACCCTTGGGTGAGGATTAAAAAAAGAATCTATACTAATAAAAAGAGTAATATGCAAATTGACCAAATGACCAAACAGCAGAACGACCATCCTGACGGCCTTCCGGACAACCATGCTATGACACCCACTGGCGCCAAGCCAGCCAAGGCAGGTGCGATGCGATTGGTTGGGGGCCTGGCCATCGCCCCATGATCACCCTGCAGAGGGAGGCCCAGGCCACAGGCCATCTGGGCGATTGATCAATTGAGGGGCTCCACGATCGCCCCAAAGAGGGAGGCCCAGGCTATCCTGTGGTGGTGCTGCAGCAGGTGGGCGGGGCCTCCCTCTGTGGGGGCGATCCATCACAGAGCTCCGGCCGGGTGGGCGGGGCCTCCCTCTTCCAAGCAATCGATCCTGGGGCTCCTGTACTGTGAGAGGGCACAGGCCAGGTTGAAGGACTCCCCCCTGCCCTGAGTGCATGAATTTCATGCACTGGGCCTCTAGTAAATAAATAAAATAATAACACTAGAATAAACTCTGTTTCATGGACTCACAACTGTAAACCTACTTTTGCCCACCCTGTAGATAACATACAACACACACATTACAGACACTCAAGATTTTCACATACAACACAGAAAACACCACATGTTGTACATACATAACTAACACACAAGAAGACACACATCCAGTGTGTCCACAGACTACACACACAGCCATATGCATAACAATACAATACCACAGACAACATACACTCATGTACAGAAAAAATATATGACAGTACACACCCACACACATGCATATGGACAACACCCATACCTCACAGTTGCAGGATATATACACCCAACACACACATATACAACAGACACACCTCACACACACAAAACACATCCACACACTCCATACACACAAAATCCATAATATGTTCACGTCATCATCACACAACATACGTTCATGCACAAAAGACTTGCACGTACCACCCACACAATGCAGCCATATGCAAAGCGTACACACACACATACACACACACACACACCCCACAACATGAGACTTACATCCTTGGAAAGCCCTGAGAGCCCCGCCTGGGGAGGAGCCTGGGAAGGGCCCCTGCACCTTCCCCTCCTCTGTTGCGCTCTCCTCTTTCCCCGGCTGTGGGTGATGAAAAAGGGTTAAATACATGTGATTCCTGAGGGGCTGACCAAGCCCTGGCCCTGACCTACCAGCCAACCAGGTGGGGGCTGGAGTCCAGTGGTTACGGAGCCGCAGCCCCTCCTGCCCAGCAAGCACCTGTGCGGTCACCAACAATAGATCCCTGGTCATCTGCGACCTCTGGAGGTCAACACGGGGCCCTCAGAGTGTGCGGTCTGAACCTGGGGCACCTGGGCCCGAAGTGACCCCATCAGGCTGGCCATCAGCTGTGAGTGACCCCGAGCCTGGACCTTCTCCCCTCTTCCCTCCCTCGCTTTTCGTCCTTCCTCTCTCCATTCACTGATGGACACCTGCTCTGTGCCAGGCACATCCGGGCTCCGGCAAGACCAAGCGCCTGTCCTCATGGACCTTACGCTCGGGTGGGGGAGACAGACTTAGCAGCCAAGCAAGGGAGACACACGGTGTGACAATGGGGCTCAGGCGAAGGGGAACCGTGAGGCAGTGAGAGGGACAGGGAGGCGGGAGGGGAAGGTGTGCAGTCTTAGCTGGGGTGGTCAGGGGAGGCCTCCCTGAGGAGGTGGCATTTGTGCTTAGACAGAGGGAGACAGGGTATGAGCCATGCAGGCAGCAAAGGGAAGAGTCCCGGGGCAGGGAACAGGCTGAGCTTGGCATGTCAGAGGCTCGAGGAGGCCAAGTGCCCAGGGAGGTGCATCAGGGGGGAGTGGAACAGAGAGGTTGGAGGTGACAGGCTGGGGCAGCGCACAGGGCCCTGGGGGCCATGGTGAGGCGCCGGGAGCCACAGAGGCTCTGGGCAGAGGAGCGACAGGACTAGACAAGTTTCACGGTCCCCTGGCCCTTGTCTACAGAGTGGAAGCAGGGGAGAGGGAGGAGGCTGTAGAGAGAGTGCTTGTCCGGGTCCTTGGAGAGGCAGACGCCGAGGTGGGGTTAAATGGGATTATACCCCCAAGGACTTTTTAGGGGAGTCGCTCCTGTGAGAACAAGTAGAGAAGGACCCGGGAAGGCTGGGAGAGCCATGGGCTGAGACCCCGAGGGAGAGAGAGGGAGGAGGCTGGGTGGAAGCTTGTGGACCACCATGTGGTCTCAGGGACATTGCCCCAAGGCTGTCAGAGGTCCCGCGTCTCCCAGGAAAGGGCCTGCCTCAGTTTCCCCAACACACTAAGGCATTGGCAGTGCGCAGCCCACGGGGGGCGGGGGGGCTGGGAGTGGATTTCAGGGCACACACAGCAGCTGGGCTTGTGGCTAAGTAAACTCCAGCCATTGGAGGCTGCAAGGCGCCCTCTGGTGGTGGCCGAGCACAATGACCCATGAAGAGATGATGGGGTGGCCAGGATGGCAGCGGTGGGCGAGGAGAAGTGAGGGGACCACGGAGATGTTCCGAGTATCAAACTCACAGGATTTGCTGCTGGTGGACATGAAGCAACAGAGAACCAGAGGACTCAAGAACAAGCCCAAGGGTTTTCGCCTGAGCTACTCAAAGGCTAGAGAATCCATGAACTGAGGTGAGAAGATTCGGGGAAGGGGTCTGTGCAAGGGCGGGAAGCAGGCCCACTTTTACATGGTCACGTAGCAGGGAGATAGAGACAAAGGGTTACACGCATCGATTTTCCTCCTCTTTCCCCTCCTCTTTCCTTCCTATTTCAGTCATTAAACCAAAAAAATCTCTTTTGGCCGTAACCGGTTTGGCTCAGTGGATAAAGCGTCGGCCTGCGGACCGAAAGGTCCCAGGTTCGATTCTGGTCAAGTGCATGTATCTTGGTTGAGGGCACATCCCCAGTAGGAGGTGTGCAGGAGGCAGCTGATCAATGTTTCTCTCTTATGGATGTTTCTATCTCTGTATCCCTCTCCCTTCCTCTCTGTAAAAAATCAATTATACATATATGTAAAGATCTCTTTTGTTCTCTTTATGCTGATCCACGTGTGGGACACTTGGTGGGAGACAGTCATGGCTCACAGAGCTCACAGCTACTCGGGGCGAGGAGAGTGAGCCTCAGGCGGGGGAAACACAGTGTCCTAAGTGCTTCCGGGGCAGGAGAGGATTTGGGGAACCCAAAGGCAGCCCCCCCTCACCAGTCAGCGGGATGTGGGAAGGCTCAAGGTGAGAGGTGGTGTCTACCATGAGGTCTGAAGGCCCAGTAAGTTCGTGAGGGAGAGCAGTCTCAGGGAGGAGGCTTCCAGAGAAGGAAGAGGATAGGGGGTGGCTTTGAGGCCAGAGGGAACATGAATTGAAGTAGGATTTTGCTCCTGGATTGAGAGTAGGTGGTGTGGAGGGGTGAGTGGTGGGGCTGGAGGAGTCTGGGATCCTGCCTGTCATGGACCTGTCCACAGGGCTAAGCTGTTTCCTCTACATGGGAAATGCCAGTCGGTGAAGCTGGGAAGGGCCTGGGGGGGTGTGGTCTTCAGGGAGCCCGCCTAGCAGGCGTGCTGCTGACCATGGTGCTGAGCGGTGTCCCTGGCACCTGGGGAATTCAGAGGGTTTGGGGCATAGCCTGAGCTCATCCCGCGTGAGGTCCTCAAGGGTGAGCTCACCAGGGAAGGGCTTTGTCCTAAGGATACTGGGGGGCCATGGGCGGTCCTCAGCACGGGAGGGGGAGAGTCAAGGTCGTCCTTGGAAAGCCCCCCTGGCTGCTGTGTGGAGGGTTTGAGGCTGGGGTGGGGAGACCAAGAAGGGAGCAGATGAGGCAGCCTAGTGGCCGTGAACTTAGGACGAGGAGAAATGAACAGCTTCAAAGGATATTTAACTGGGGGGCAGGGGCAGGATTTTCCTCCTTTTCTGGAATGTTCCAACTGGGAAATCTATTTTAAAATATGTTTTTATTGATTTCAGAGAGGAAGGGAGAGAGAGAAGGGAGAGAGAGAGATAGAAACATCAATGATGAGAGAGAATCATTGATTGGCTGCCTCCTGCACACCCCCATTGTGGGATCGAGCCTGCAACCCTGGGCATGTGCCCTTGACCGGGAATTGAACCCACAACCATTCAGTTCACAGGCTGATGCTCTATCCACTGAGCGAACCAGCCAGGGCCCAACTAGAAACTCTTTGCACCCTTCTTTCCCAGTAGTTTACATTAATGTAAACAAGACAAGACTCAAACTCCTCAGTTTGCACGAGAAATCCAGCAGTCTTTTCATCTGTTTCCTGCACGGATGTGGGAGGACAGCCAAGTGCTCCTTACAGAGAAAAATCCACATGTATCTCTACCGTTGAAGACACACACACACGGAAAACTGAATATTGTAACAGAGCCACGTGCCGTGAAATAAGAATTTCCATCAGAATTATAACCAGTTTTGGAACTTCGGGGCTGTGGTCACAGGACGCAGAAGAGACCACCAAAGCTCAGAGTGGCTAAGAGCATGGCCAAGGTCACACAGCTGATGTGGGAACCTAGGCTGTTTGACTCTAGAAACGATGCTGTTCGTACCAGAACACCTTGCCTCTCAGTGAACGTAAAACCATTCATTCATTAAATGAAGTGGAGAGAATGCCACAAGCTGGGAAGGGGCTGCGGGGTGTGGTCTTCAGGGAGCCCGCCCAACAGGCGTGCTGCTGACCATGGTGCTGAGCGGTGTCCCTGGCACCTGGGGAACTCAGAGGGTTTGGGGCATTGCCTGAGAAGGGACGCCGGACATGGGCAGAGCCTGTGGAGATGGGAGGGACTAGGTGGTGCACAGAAGTATGAGGGCTTTGGGGTTTCAGGTCCTCGGGGAAAATAGCAGAGGGCCGCACCCATGAGGCCATCACACCCTCCTCCCCTGAGGACCACCCTGCACAGCCCCGTTCCGGTGAGTGGCTGTAACGTGCCCAGGGCAGTGGCGAGGGGCAGCAAGCGTGTCTCTGAGATAAAATAAAGGAGAACGATTCAGGAAACAAGTGGATCAGGCAATTTTCCACATGGTGTTCCGACTGGAGGTGAGTCCCGAGAAAGGGCGGGGATACAACGACACCCCTAGAAGGAGGCATGTCTGTTGGTGCAGATAAGGGAATGCAGCGATGTCAATTCTAAAAGATGTTTTAGCTGGTCAGCCTAGCAGTCACCCAGCAGACCGGTAGCCAGAGTGAGAATACTGCCTCCTTGCTATTTTGCGAGCAGTGCTGTGGGCCCCCCGCGGCTTTAACCCCAGCCCAGAGGTTACCTGGCCTTGTAACCTTTAACGTTCCAGAGCTTTGGGGGGGATCAAAATGTTCAAGGCTCTTCCTCTGCGATGGCAGCCCCGGCTGCATTTTATTGATTATTAAAGTCGCATTTCTTGGGGTGACATTGGTTAATGAGATCACATACATTTCAGGGATATGATTCTAGAACACCTCATCTGTATATTGTATTGTGTGTTCACCACCCCCAAGTCAAGACTCGTTCCAACACCCCCTTTACACTCTTCTCCCTCCCTTACCCCCCTTTCACTCTGGTGATCACTGTTGCTGGCTATGAGGGTTTTTTTGTAGTTGTTGTTTTTTTTGCTTAATCCCTTCGTCTTTTGCCCCCAGCCCCTCTCCACCCTCCCCTCTGACGGCTCTCAGTCTGTCCTCTGTATCTATGAACCTGCTCCCATTTTGTTTGTTGCTCTGGCTACACGTTAAGGCAGCGGTTCTCAACCTGTGGGTCACGACCCCTTTGGCGGGCGAATGACCCTTTCACAGGGCCTAAGACCATCCTGCCTATCAGATATTGACATGACGATTTGTAACAGTAGCAACATGACAGTGATGAAGTAGCAACGAAAATAATTTTATGGTTGGGGGTAAAAACATGAGGAGCTGTATTGAAAGGGCCAGAAGGTTGAGAACCACTGCTTTAAGGTGTCTCTGTATATATTATTTTCTACAGCTCGTTGCCACCCCTACATAGAACGAATGGATCGCACAGTGTTGGAAAACACCTCCATTTCAGTCATCGGCCTTTACAAATGCCACAATTTGGAAAAACACAGGTTTCCAAGTTCTCTTGAGAAACAGCAAGAGTGGTTACAGGAGCCCAGGTGCCGGCACAGTCGCCAGGGCGCCCTGGTCTCCGTGTGCCCCTCCTGGTCCTGTCCTGGGAGGCGGCCCTCCCTGTGCTGTCAGTGAGGTCCCGGCCCCCTGGCTTCTGGTTGGGTGCTGCCACTGGAGGCACCTTTGAAAGGCTGGGCAGAGGGAACAGAGTGACCAAGTTTGTCAGTTGACTGGAACCTCATCCCATGCACCCAAAGGTTGTGGATTCAACTCCTGGCCAGGGCACATACCTAGGTTTCAGGGTCAACTCCTGGTTGGGAGGTAACCCACTGATGTCTCTCTCTCTCAAATCAATAAATATATCCTCCGGTGAGGATTTTTAAAAAAAGAATGATGGCTAATATTTAATTCACCAACATTCTCTGCTGTGCTGCTCTGCTGGAGGCCACAGCCCCTATGGGCAGCCTGTCCGCCACCTACAGCCTCGGGGCTGGGCTGCCTGAGCTCTGGCGCCATCCCCTCTCCCCACCCCCTCAGGCTGGAGTGGCACTTAGCTCTTGATGGTCCCCATGAGCCAGCCCATCCATTACTGGCCCTTAGCCCTGCGCACCCCTGAAATACATTAAATGCTTCTCAAATACAGTCTTACCGACAACTTTATATATTTCCTGCCAAGCCCACCTCTCTGTGCACAAGAACAAAGATAGAAATTTTAAAATAATGGTGTTTTTTCTTTTTTTAATATATATTTTTTATTGAGTTTTTTACAGAGAGGAAGGGAGATGGATAGAGAGTTTGAAACATTGATAAGAGAGAAACATTGATCAGCTGCCTCCTGCCCACCCCCTACTGGGGATGTGCCCGCAACCAAGGTACAGGCCCTTGGCTGGAATCGAACCTGGGACCCTTCAGTCCGCAGGGCGACGCTCTAGCCACTGAGCCACACCGGTCAGGGCAGGTGTTTTTTCCTTTAATACAAAGGTGATTTCCTCCAGCGCGAATCATTTCATAAACCAGGGGAGTTCACTTCTAAACATCTTTAAAGACAATGAGCTTAACCCATTTGTATTTTTTGTTGTTGTTAATCCTCACCCAATATTTTCCCATTGATTTTTAGAAAGAGTGGCAGGGAGGGAGAGAGGGAGAAAGAGAGAAATATAGACTGGTTGCCTCCCCCACACTCATTCTCCAACTACTGAGCCACACCAGCCAGGGCCACATTTGTATTTTCAAAATCATAACATTCTAATGTCATGGTCAAACTGGAAGGAAAGGAAAACATTTGGTACATGCATGTAAAAGACAGAGAACATTTTGAGTCATACTCCACTATATTGTGGATATTTTATTCCTTCAAAAAATGTATGTTCCCATAATGGCAGGTAATACTGTCTCATATCTTAGGAAGTATTGGACATAAAAAGTTCACTAATTTTTTCATACCTAAATGAGCAATATCCAGTAAGAGCATAGGATAGCTTTTTAAAAATATATATATTTTTTATTGATTTCAGAGAGGAAGGGAGAGGGAGATAGAAACATCCATGATGAGAGAGAATCATTGATCAGCTGCCTCCTGCACGCCCCACACTGGGGATCAAGCCTGCAACCTGGGCATGTGTCCTGAGTGGGAATGGAACCATGACCTCCTGGTTCATAGGTCAACACTCAACCACTGAGCCACGCCGGCCGGGTGATGTTTGGAATTTTAGAGAAAAAAAAGGAATCGAAGGAAGAGTGAAGGCAGCTGAGCCTGAGTGAAGAACCAGTGAGCTCTTCCCCTGGGACTCCCCTGTGCCCTCCTTTGAGCACACCCTCACTTCCCCCACAGGCACACATCTCCTCAACTCCAAGGGACCCCACGAGCCTTGCAACCAGGAGAGCGACGGGCAGCAGCAGCACATCCTGGGTTAATCCCCTGAACCTGTCCCCAAAGCTCTCTTTTCTCTGACTCTCCGAGCTGACAGCAGCCCACCGTGGCTCCCTTCTTTCCCGTAAAGTTTCTAGAACCAAAGCAGCCCCCTCCAGTCTCTCCCCTTGCTCTCACCCCTGGCCCTTCCTTGTGCCACAGTCCCGGCTTTATTTAGTAAACGTACCCTCACAACCACCTGGACTCCTGTCGTGAAATCTTTCCCTCATGAGGTCAGGTGCCCACACACTACAGCTCCAACCAATTGAGCTCAACACATTTGTCATTCACCCACGTTTCTACATCCCTTGAGCTCTCGTTGTTGAATTCCTGGTTCTCTCCCAAGAATTCAAACTCAGATTACCCAATAGTGTGCTCCGAATGACTTCACGGTTGCTCAATATCCTCAACCGTGTGGTCATCTATTCGTTACGATATCTACTTCTCTCTGTCAGCAGGCAGCTCCTCCACACACGGGAGCAGTTAATGATTGCTCTGTCTTTATTATAAAAGGTGATTTGGCGACAGCTGCCACAGCCTCTCACCGCGGGTGGCTACGGCGGGAACTCTCACAGCAGGTCCAGAGAGCTCGCGGTGATGGCAGACGGGTATGTGTGGTTTGAAGGGATCCCTTTCCCTGTGGTGGACTGCACCCCTGAACACCTGAGAGCAATGCAGGACTTTGTGTTTAAGGATGAAGATGTCTTAACAGTGTCTTTCCCCAAATCAGGTAAGGAAGCCGGACCAGACACCGAGACTGGCTGGGCCTATGTCCCTCCACCGTTCACTAAGGGCATGGAGAGCTTTCTCTTTGCCAGCCAATGACAAGGCTGTGGGGGCATAGGGCTGTGCCCGGATGCCAACGATATCCAGAGACGAGGAGGTGGCCAGGCTGTTACACAGGAAGATGAGTGTTTGGAGGGGGTAATGGAAGGTCTTAGGGTAACCCATAGGAACACATCCTAGAGCAGATTTGGGTGCTTATATGGAGAAGTGGAGGCGATGACCAGTGACGTCCTTACAGAAAAAATAGAAGGAAAGGGGCCCTGGCTGCTGGTGTTGCTCAGTGGTGAGAGCATCAGCTCAAGCACCGAAGGGTCTCAGGTTTGATTCCTGGTCAAGGGCACGTATCTTGGGGCAGGTTTGATCCTGGCCCCAGTTGGAGCAAGTGCCAGAGGCAACTCTCACATCAATGTTTCTCTCTCTCTCTCTCTCTCTCTCTCTCCTCCTCCTCTTCCTCCTCCTCCTTCTTCCTCTTCTTCTTCCTCTT